CAAGCACAGGTCAAGAATCAAATAATGTAGCAGTTTGTTTATCCTCACTGCAAGGGAAAGAAAACCCACCCCCTCTTCTTTCTAAACTTCTTTTATTTGGATGTCTAGTTGACTAAACAGAGAGAAAGCAATTGCTTGTCAGCAAGTGTGTTAAGCATTGTTCAGCATAAAAGGAGCCATTTGTGTAGAAACAGCCAACATGTAAAGGAGGTAATTAAACCACTAGTTTCCCACTCCACCCCTGAATGATTTTTTTTTTTTTTTGGCTTTCTATTTCAGTCTTCCTGCTTTGTGAAGCATTTTTCAAAATGTTTCATAAAGGTCCCAACAGAGAATGCTATAGAGATAACACAGATGCCATCATGAAGCCAAATATTCACTTCTTTCGGAAAGTAAAGGAGTGGCACAATGACGAAGTGTGTGAGCAAGAAACCAGAAAAATCCCCTGTTCAAATCTCACCTAGACTATGAACTCAGTAGGCAGCCTTAGGCAAGCTGACATCTCTTAGTCCAAGGCCAAATTCAATTTCTGAGAAGTTATCAGGAGCCACATCCCGGTAGTGGGCATGGCCAAAGGCAAAAAGGTGGGACTGAACATGCCAGCATATTTTACTTTAAAGCTCTCAGTGTCTTCGGAGAGGTATTTCAACCCAAGACAAAAGAAAAGAAAGAGCATTGCAAAAGTTAGGAAGCCATCACAATGGTGTCATGGAGAAGGTATTGTTATAAAGCATCCTAAGAGCCAAACTATATGTTACACTGATACAAGGTTGGTCAAAGTGGATTCTCCTGCCCACTCACTGACTGTTAGTAGACTCAGTAGTATGAACTGGGAGTTGGATAGGGGACAGATTGTATTTGTCTTCAGTGTGGAAGGGATGTCACTTTTGAATTGGCCTTCTCAGCCACACTAGATGCTGTTCCAAGTCCTCCATACAGAGCACGTTATCATATTTTTTAGAGACTGAAGGATGCCTAATCTAATCTAATTCAACATATGTGCTTTAGGTAAAGGTTCCCCTTGATATTTAGTCCAGTCGTGTCTGACTCTAGGGTGCATTTCCCCATTTCTAAGCCATAGAGCCAATGTTTTTATGAAGACAGTTTCCGTGGTCATGTGGTCAGTGCGACTAGACACAGAATGTCGTTACCCTCCCACCGAGGTGATACCTATTTATCTACTCGCATTTATACATGCTTTCGATCTGCTAGCTTGGCAGGAGCTGGGACAAAGCGATGGGAGCTCACTCCGTCTCGTGGATTCGATCTTATGACAGCTGGTCTTCTGACCTTGCAACACAGAGGCTTCTGCGGTTTAACCTGCAGCACCACCACATCTTTGCTTTAGTTGGGACCAAGAACTGGGTTAAGCATTGTGATACTTTTCATTGAAGATAATATACATACCAAATTATAAAGGTGTATAACTAAAATATGTACTTAAAAATAATGCAAGTAAACACATTTAGCCACACAAGCTTTAGGGAAAATGTACAGCCAAATATGGATGAATTTCTGTAGAGGAAATGTCTTACAACCTGACACAGAACACGAACATGATGAAAATGCTGGTGGGATTCTGAGAAAATGAAAATAAAACAGAGATTTTCTCACCCCTGTCCAGCAGCCACCAACAATGTGGAATGTGTCTTATGAACATGAAAATCTTAATGACATCCCCAATTTTTGAAACGAGTTTTAGCTGGCAATGTGACAATAGCAAACCAGAGGATGGGGGCTTCTCAGAAGGATCTAGTTCAGCTTTCCAACAATATACATGAAACACTCAAAGTGCACACATCAACATGAATGTCAATAATGAGTCTACTGTGTTTCCCCCCAAAATAAGACAGGGTCTTATATTAATTTTTGCTCCAAAAACACATTAAGGCTTATTTTCTGGGTGTGTGTTTTTTTTCATGTACAACAATATCCATTTATTCAAATATAGTTATGTCCTCTTCTTCTGGTTGCTGCACAAGGGTGGAGGGAGGAGTTTCACTTAACTGGGGCTTATTTTTGTGGTAGGGCTTATATTACGAGCATCCTGAAAAATCATACTAGGGCTTATTTTCAGGTTAGGTCTTATTTTTGAGGAAATGGGATAACAGAAAAGAAAATATTCGATGGGGCACCACAGGGGTAATGTATGTTGGGGAATCTCTGTCCCATGTGCTAGAGTTTTGTGTGTGTGTGTGTGTGTGTGAGAGAGAGAGAGAGAGAGATTGAAGTTGACTGCACATTAAATGCTCTGGTCTTGAATCTTCTAAAGTAACTTAATGGAATTTGAGGGAATTCTTTTTCAGAGATGCATGCTTAGAGTTCCAGAGAACAAATAATTTTAATTTGTATGTGAAAGGTGTTTTTTCTTCAAGTAATTAGAGGGTCTAGTAATAGGGGAAGGAGGAGCACTGGAGCTGTTCATCATGTTTTCTTCTGATCCTGCTGATGGGCAATATTGCTCCAGTCTGGTGCGCTCTCCTCCATGCTTATCCTTGAAACAATTCAGCAGACTTAAAGATAATAACTCCCTTTTTAATATCACTGCTCTTCACAGCTTTAGTACATAGTGGCTGAAATCCTGTTGCTTAATGTAGTAAGTCGAACTAGAGTAGGCACACTGAATCAGTAGGGATTTTTTGAATCAACTCCATCGGTTCCATTGATTCAAATGAGACTACTCTAATTGTAACTTTCTTTAGTGTAATCAATCACATCCACAGTAAACCCATTAGAATCAATGGAGATTATGGAGGTTTTACTGATGAAATCACTACTGATTCAATGAACCTACTGCAGTGTGACTTACTACATTAAACAACAAGATTTCAGCCACTGTGAAACATTTAGTATGCAGAACCTGGAAGCATTTCCAGAGCTTCCCTTTCTTATCTTCTAATTACAAGCTAAGTATTCAGGCCTCCAATAAGAATTGGAACCAACGTGCATGGGTAGGGGAGGTTTAAACCTTTCCTTTAAAAGCAAAGCAAAGTGTACTGCTTACATACCGCCCCACAACACTTAAAGTACTCGCTAGGCAGTTTACAAGTTAATTATGCAGGCTACACATTGCTTCCCCCCCCCCAGCAAGTTGGGTACTCATTTTACTGAAGAAGAACAGAAGGCTGTGTCACGCATGAGGCAGCTACCTGGGATTGAACCCCGGGTTGTGAGCACAGTTTTGACTGTGGTACAGCAGTTTAACCACCGTGTCATGAGGCTCCTTCACAACTGTTTCATCCTTAAGCCTACCCCTCTTTGTAGATGTGGAGGATAAACAGAAAAATCTGCATGCAGACCAAAATATCTTCTGCCCTTTGCAGCCATTATGTGAAGGAACAATTAATGTAAGGGAGGAAAAATGAGCATTAATTTACACACACAAACACAAGTGTGTGGAGTGGTCCCAATCTGTGTTGGGGTCTGTCCCACTTATGTGTAAGTAGAAAAGAAAGGGAGGCTCGGCTATGCACTATGTACTTGATGTGACATGTATTTCAGCCCTCAGCGGCTCAAGACCACTGAAAATGTATCAGTACTGATCAAGGAAGTATACATATGTGGGGAGGGGGAATAGCTTTAGGAGTAGCAGAGAAGAGAAGAAAAACAACACTAAAGGAGGGAAATGTTAGGAGGCTACTGAACTTTTCAAAAAAAAATTTAATTATTTGTTCTCCTCAGTAGTTTTCTGTTCCTAAACTGACTGTCCATGGAAGCCCTAATCTTTAATTTACCTCCCTCTAACAGCTGCTTCTGATGGCACCACAAATAGAGAAATTACAGCTTTTAGACTGTCATTTTATTCCTTTCACCTATAATTCTTGAGTTCCAGTCTGTCTGTCTGACCACTTGGTGAGGCTTTTTTAAAATTACTGGATCTTCTCTCCCATGGATGGGGATAGACTAGAGAGGAAATGTCCTTAAATATGTTTGTGTACATAAAAAGAGCAGATAGCCTTGGAAATGTCTGATCCCACACAGAACATCCTGTCAGGAATATGAAACAGCAAAGAGTGTATAGCACAAAAACCCACTTAGCTGAAGATATCAGGGGGTGTACTAGAAGGAGTAATCTGCCTGGGACACAAAGTTTTTTGTATAGATTTCCTTCTATTGTTAATACTAGTCTCTTATTCAGTGCCCTGTGGCATTTCAACTGACAAAGAGAATTACATGAAACTACTTAACTAGAGACTGTCCATCCATTAAGCATAACCTTTTAGTTTTTAATCCTTTTTGCTAATGATAATTTGACAGTTTTTGCTTTCTACCCAGGCAATGTTTCAAGCTTTGTTTTTAGTACTTTTTATTCTTTTTAGTTGGATTTACACAAGTGATACTGTCATTTAGATACAATGTCTAGAAACCTCATTCTGTTAAAAAAACACACACTTCTTAAACCAAAACATAACATTTAGTCAAAAAATAGACAAGGTATTAACTATATGTGTTTTTAACTATAGTTTAACTATAGTTAAAAAACACATAGAGTTAATACCTAAAACCATGCGCAGTATGGCTAAAAGCATTAGTTTATAGTTTAAACTATAAACTAATGTTTTTAGCCATACATGGGTTTTTTTAATGGGAAGGGCAAATTTATAGTTTAAACTATAAACTAATGCTTTTAGCCATACATGGGTTTTTTTTAATGGGAAGGGCAAGAAATTCAGTGTAGATGCTTCCATTCTCTCCCAACCCCCCACCCTATCTCTGCATTTGGATACAGTTGGCAGAAACAGCTTATAAAGATCATTTTCCAATGATGTTATGTCTGAACAAGATAATCTTGTACTGTACCTTGGAGAAAACTATAAACTAATGCTTTTAGCCATACATGGGTTTTTTTTAATGGGAAGGGCAAGAAATTCAGTGTAGATGCTTCCATTCTCTCCCAACCCCCCACCCTATCTCTGCATTTGGATACAGTTGGCAGAAACAGCTTATAAAGATCATTTTCCAATGATGTTATGTCTGAACAAGATAATCTTGTACTGTACCTTGGAGATCTGACAACAAGCCTCTTCTGCTCCTCCTAAGAAGTCCGAGGTGCTGGACCAACCATCTCAAGCTATTTTTTTCACCATTCTGTCTCTCTTTACTCATCTGGCAAGAGAAAAGAATGAAGAGATTTAGCTTAACGAGTGCATATATCTATATATAAAAGCAGAAACAACACAGGAGGAGCTGTTCCATGGCAAGTTGTATATACAGAGGTTACAATTAACATGTTGCAGGAACGTGGCATCAAGCTTTAAGAACAGTTAATACTGAGTAGACAAAAGTGGTTTTCATCAGGACTGTGGATTGTGGGAAGAAGAGATGTGAGTTTGATCTTGACCAATAAATAAATGATGTCCTCAAGCTCAATATTGTATTTTAAAAACTCTCGTATTGATCTAAGCAACATGTAAACTTCTCTCTTTCACACACACACAAAACACACACACACACACACACACACACACACACACACACAAACTTCAGCTTTTAGCAGGCACTCCTGCAGCTCCAAGTGGCTGCAAACAGCTGATCCTGTGACTTCTGCAGCACACACATTTCACCTTGGACTCCCTTCATTCTGTCACACCCACATTTCTTCCAAAATGAAGGGTGGTCCTATACATAGTGGAACAGGCTCCACTCCCAATGGATGTTGACGCTAGTGGGAGGAAGGCTCAAGTCAGGAGCTGAACTGGAGGGAATTTCCCTTCTATAAGGCAACAGATGTTGGGATTTCAGATAATCCCACCCCCACCTTGTTTACTATCAGTAGTCTAAAGTAACTGCTTAAGCATTACTGAACAAAAGCTTCCAAAAATTTGTACAGATATAAAAGGTGTGTTGAACGAAATAGTGCTAAGAATAGGGATGCAAACAATACAGGCTTTCACTCTTGGTTAGAAATTGAGGGGGAAAAAATCTCCCACTTCTTGCACCAAGGGGTGTGTCTATGTGTGTGTCTGTGTAATAAAACTTGTCACTTTGAGCATGTTTTATGGTATTTCTTACCAAGAAGAAGCACAAATAAGTGTGGAATTCTTACGATTTCTGCAAAAATTGCCATTTTTTGTGTACAGGATTTCCTGAAAAGAGCAATGAGATGTGCGGAATTTAGCAGTTACTTGAACAAACGGTGAAAAATTAGAAAAGAACAAATGGGGAAACCAAAATATTGTGTTGGTGCAGGGAGGGCATCTCAGCAAGAAGTCTCATTATTGTGAAAGGTGAAAAACTGCTGAGAATGAGGAATTTTAAAAATAGTTTTCATATCCTTAACTTTTAGGGTGTATTTAGAAGGTTGTAGAATAATCTATGATTGGTTTACAAGTGCCTCATCTGTAGCTAATGGTTTTACTATGAAGTCAATGAGCTGTACTTGCAATTGTGGGTTGTGTATTATGCCAACTTGTATTAAAGCAACATATTCAAGTCTCAGTCTGAAATATGCTGTAACAACAATGGAGCTGTGATCTGTGGAGAGAACATTGGTGCCCCCACATTGGGTTTCAGACTTCTAAATTATACATCCACAAAGTGGGTGCCTCAAGAAATTGCCCTTTAGCAGCCGGCTTGGGGAAACCCAATATTCACCAAACTTGGAAGGGTTGTAGAGAAGAGTAAGTATTCATTTCTCTGTAATTTTGGTGTCTCTAGGTTCCTGTAGGGGACTTTCCCGGGGTGTCCTATTTGTAGGTGTAGAACTCAAACATCTAAAACCCAATCTTCATCAAATGTGAACGGTTTGTAGAGCAGAGTCAGAAGAAGCTTCTCTGAAATTTTGGTGTCTCCAGGTGAATGGGGGGCACTTTATAGCCAAACAAATTATCAAATCAAAAATTGCTAAGAATATATTGATTTGTATTCATTGGGGGCACTGATTTGTACAAATACAAATTTATGACTTAGTGGTTTTTGAATGAATTTGGTGATTCATTTTTCAATTTGTTCCTCTCTCTAAACAATACTTTTTCATGACTAATGGTACAACTACACAACAGGGAAAAAAACCTGAAGTGATCTGGTGCGAAGTCTTATGGTCACCAATCTGGCCAAGTCAGATTTCCCCACCTGAATCTGGTTTAGCAGATCACACAGGAGCCAGCAGTGATAGTAGAGGAAGTTGCTAATCTGTACTTTTTAGCACCTTGTTAAGATGGCTCTACCACAATATCCCAATTTGAAGCTGGCATCACAACAAGAGAGCTACTTCAATATGCTGCAAAAAAAAAAAAAGAGTTTGTTGATTTCTTCTGATTTCTTTCTCACTTGCTTTTTTTTATTCCTAGGTGATCTAACACGCCAGCACTAGCACCATGCCACCAACCAACCAACCAACCAACAGAACAGTTGAGCGGAACTGGCACCCTCTTCTTTGCCAGCCCTAAGCTTCTGGTCACCCATTGCATTGGCTCAAGTGATCAAACCGAATTAACCCATGTGAATGCATTCAATTTTAGGGGTGGAGGGAGCTAGAAGATTGAAAAAGTACAGAATGAGAAGAAAATTCCATGCTGGTTCTCATTGACTTGTATGTCATGTAGTCAATGGAAAATAATGTAAATCCTACCATCCCAATCCCAGAGCATTAACTGTATTATTTGTCCATGTAGTTGCCCCCTGCCTCCTGGAGTTTGGTCAAATCTCTGGCAGGCAGTGGAAGATGGGAGGGCCTGGTGTGCTCTGATCCATGGAGTCATGAAGAGTTAGACATGATTTAACGACTAAACAGCAACAAAGTTGCCCCCTAACTTGAGCTGTACTGGAGCAACACACCAGACAAAATTGAACAGATTATAACATATGTCTACATCATGATGGGAATTTTTAAAAATCCTTACCCTTTCAACATTTGCATCTTTATTTGACTTTAAAGCACTGTTATCAAACTATTCCATGCCAGACTAGGAATAGTAATAAAAACACGTTAAACTTTTTGTTCGTATTGATTTAGGCTGTGCTGATCCAGCAAGCCACCTTGATGTAGAATTTTCAACCCCCTCTAGATTCCTCACTTCCAGATGAAAGTGAGACAAGGAGTTAGGGTGGGTTTTTTGTTTTTGTTTTTGGTAATTTACACAAAGAGTGTCTGCACAAAGTAAGCATCCTTTTCCTTTGAGAAGCAAGGTTGCACACATACAACAAGCACAAAACGGCTTGGTATGAAGTATCAGCCATAAACATTTTGCACAATTTAGATTAAAACATTTATTTGCATCATTTGTGCAACATTGTTAAGATGTGTTACATGCCAGCAAGTTGCTTCATGCTTATGGTGACTTGACAGGGTTTTCAAAGTATATGAAATGTCCAAAGAGTGCTTTGCCAATGCCACCCCGCTCCTCCACCTCAGTGAATTTCCATGGCTCAGACCATATTTGAATCCAGGTCTACTGAGTCCTAGTCTGCTACTCTATCCGCTACACCAAACTGGTTCTCGTAATTTTGCTTGAGTTGTGCTAAGAGTCATTCTCATTCTCTTCTCTTGTTGAGAGTGCCACAAAATACTTCATCTTATTTCAGGGCAGGAATAATTTTTGTGATTCTTTATTATCAGGTGTAAGGCAAGACAAGGAAGAATTTACATCCTCACACCATGTGCTTTGATAATCTGTGCAGTCTTCAACTGCTTATAATTAAACGACCAGTTCTGCTAAACATTATGACACTATAATAATGGAAAGTGATGCCATATGAGCAGCTAACGAAGAAATGTTCAAAACCAAAACATAAAGGCAACATGACAGTGAATGAATCTCAGTTTAAAATAAAAATAAATAAAATGACCACAAGCAGCAGCAACATGAATAAAAACAGACAGCAGAATTGACTACTTGGTCAAATACAGAGGGATTTGCTTCACTTATAAAAAAGGTGAATTCATTTCAAAGTATATTTTACTGTCTACACGACAAAGCTGATTCAACTTCTTCTAGCAGAAGTTCAGATGGAAAGATCAAAGGGCTCTCAGCTTGCAAATAGGGAGAAGGAGGGTGGGTATCCCAAAGTGTTTTGTGTGTGCACGTCGGCATGCATTTCAAAGTCTTGACTGTTTTCTTTTCTGGGATATTTTCTAACAATCTTTGAAATACACACACAGACACATACATAGGTACTCCTGACCTCCCCATAATCAAACATAGGAACAGGTCAATAAGAGAATCATCACTACCTCCCCTTACTTTCCTGGCTTTCATTTTCTCACACAAAACCATAAAAGGATTATTGAGGTGGGACCAGAAGGGTGGGCAGAAGCGGGATCAGAGGAAGGAAGGAATGAAGGAGGGCTATGGGCTGGAATATGACTCGCATCACAGCATGAACAGTGAACTCTTGAATCAATCTGCAGCCCCTGTGTGGGCATTGATTGCAATTTCAGATGTAATAAAAATCAAACCACAAATAAGTTAAAATGTTCCAATTCAGTTCTCCTATGTAAGGTAAAGGTAAAGGTTCCCCTTGACAATTTTTGTCCAGTCATGTTCGACTCTAGGGGGCGGTGCTCATCCCCGTTTCCAAGCCATAGAGCCAGCGTTTGTCCGAAGACAATCTTCCATGGTCACATGGCCAGTGTGACTTAGACATGGAATGCTGTTACCTTCCCACCGAAGTGGTCCCTATTTATCTACTTGCATTTGCATCCTTTCGAACCGCTAGGTTGGCGGGAGCTGGGACAAGCGACGGGAGCTCACTCCGTCGTGTGGATTCGATCTTATGACTGCTTGGTCTTCTGACCCTGCAGCACAGGTTTCTGCGGTTTAGCCCGCAGTGCCACCACGCCACCACGTCTCCTATGTAGCCACAGCCAAAAAAGAACTGAAGACCTCAGTGGTAAGGAAAATGTTAAAAAGTCTTCACCTGGCAAAGGAAGTAAGTAAACAAAGACAAGGTGAGCCTCTTTAGGACAACATTTCTATGACAGCTCCCCTCATCTGATAATGAAGGATGGAAAAAGGTGAACATGTGGTGGTGGTAGCTATGCCTATGTTCATGTGCTCTTTCAATAAATTTATTTAATTTATTTTTATTTCATTATAAGTTTCTTGTCCGTACAATGGGGACACCAACAACAGAACTTGTGGAATATGTCAAAGCTGCCACCCACT